TTTTTTATGATTTTGAATCAAAGTAGACATCTCGTGAGTTCTTTATTGTGCAAGGTAATACAAATTACAATTTGAAAACTCGAGATAATATAAAGCCCACTTCAGATGTGCTCTGAGTGACAACCCAAAATCGCGCTACTCGACATACACCCCTGTACGATAACGCTTTAACAAACCAAGTTACATTTATCTTCGCACTCAGTAGTTAATCTTCAGAAGCATCCGGATTATTGAAAGCTCTCAAAGACGGGACAGAAGAGGTCAAAAGTCTTCTGAAATATAGCTGTAATGTGATCTTAGAGTGTCGGTATGTTTCTCCACCAGTGTTTTGATTCTAACTTTTTCAACATCAATCTTAATTGAATTGCTACGATCCTACTTGCATAATTGTATCTGTTTGTTGTTACATACAAAAAATATCCATTGGTGATCCATAGTTTCTTTTCAGGTGCTGTCGAGCTGTTTTTCGTCATCCGGAGAATTTCCATAAGCATAAAATCCTGATTTGTCACGCATATCATAAGCCAATTGGACCCACGTATGAACAGGTCATAAATTTCCAAAAGAAGGTAGCTGCTATGTGCGATCCAGACCAACCAACAAGTAGCAAGCTGCTTGATGATGACGACGATGACGGAGATGAGCTTCTCGCAGATGATACCTCTTTCTTGGAAAACTATGATGGCATTGAGGAATTATGTGATTACGATCCTGAAGGGAGCCCAGAACCTGGAGAAATAATAGAGCTGCCAGAAGAAGGAGTAATGGTTTGCGGTGTTGAAGAAGTCGATGAAGAATCTCTTTGCGAGATCGAGGAGGGCGAATATATAGCACCTGCAGAAAATCCTTTGCTTGCAGTCAATTCTTCACAAACAGCTGCTGCTCAGGTTGCTAATATTCTTACTAAATATACTTTTTTCCTATATTTGAAGTCGCAAAAAATTTCCTTCTGTTTTTTCGCTGTTATATCGTAAACACCTATTTCCCAAAAAGCCTTTTTTTGATAATGCAAGAATCATAGCAGTCTAACCACTTTTATAGGGTACATTGTAAGTGAAAAGAAATTTAATCTCCCCAAAACATCGCATTTGAGAACCTAATTGATATGAGAACTGTTGTGATTACTGTTATCAGACACATACTAACGGTAAATTGTGATTATCCTAATGCTCTATGATCTCACTTGACTCTATGTAACAATTTATTTAGGTCAACAGCGGGAGCAAAATATATTGCTTAAACGACGGGATTTTTGAAGGGGTGAACGCAGGCAAACTTGGTAAGTTCACTGTATTTATTTTACTTGTAGTAAATGACGATAAATTTGTAAGACAATCGCTTCAAAGTAATAGGGAGAAGTGTTGCTTGCGACAGCACCAGATAAATCAGTCCTAAAAATGCGTTTTTTCTTTTGTTCTATCATACAAAAGGCACGACTGCATATCTGCGACTGAAAGTTGCAAAATACAGACATGTTCATTAGTTTTACGATATCCTCTAAATCCTTACTATTCACTTCTCGTTTTTTCTGCTGTCATCTGCTTTTCTTTGCTTTCAGCTGACGACGGCATTTCGCTTACAGAAAGTCCCTTGCGCGGACCTCTCGACATCGCTCTCTTCGAGGAAAATTTGTTGGAATCGCCAACCGAAAGCGAATATTTCGGTAAAGATCGTAGTGTAACAGCACCCTCGTTTCCTCTTCCAGCTGCTGATACAAAGTAGCTCATTGGATTTGCGTTTGCATCTTATGCGGGTCGGATTCTCAGAGTGGTAAACGATTCTTGCTGCTGGAGTGTTTGCGTTGTGAACTGTGATAAACAAGAAAGTTCTAGGAATCTAATGTAAAGAAAGGGCTGTTATATCTAACATGGCTGATTTTTGATTAATAAACTTATGTTTGCAATGCCAACTTGTCCACAGACCTCAATTCTGTCTGACCACGGGCATTCATTTCAAATTTAGATTGTTATCTTTCAAATGCAATGTTAACACATATCTCTCTGGCTTTTCCCCCTCTTTCTTCAGAGTCGGTATGAAGACTTCCCACAGAGGATGTTCACCTAGTGTATCGAAAGTCTCACACTTACATGCGCTGCCTTTGGATTACTTTTTGAGATAAAATTCCTAAGGGACAACGTTAGAGACAGTCAGTAGGCTCAAAAACTTCAGAAACGAATTAGCACTTCAAATATGTCAATATGACATTACTGAAATATTCCAAATAATTAACATGGATAATTTTATACAGCATTCTCTCCACATTACACACTATGTTCTCATCATTGGATGTGCCCTCAATCGTACCGATGCCAAATGAACACTGCTAGGCGACTCTAGTAACGGTACTAAAAAAAACACCTTTTTTTAAGTCAAGTTCTAAAGAAAGAATCTCATACCTGAGACCACTTTTTGAAACCAAGATTTAGTTAAGAGTACGAGAGTTAAAGTCACATCAGCTGCATCGCTCCATGGTTCTGAAGACGAAATTAGCACCTGAAAAAATCCAAACAATTAGACTCCAGTTTCCTGCAAAAAAAAA